ATACCTTATCTTTAACCAACATTTCCAAGGTATCAGCCTGTTGTTTGAACTTCACGTGATCTCTCGCTTCCGCAAGCCTTTGGCTTTTTATACTTGACGACTGCAGTAACTCTTGCCAGCGGTTTTCCAAGTACTCCAGTCGCTGTGCAATATCATCGCTGGCGTAATGTTCGTTACTTATTAATGCGTCTCCAATAGTTTTGACATCATTAATAGTTTCCTGATGAACTGTGATTTCGGCGCAGAATGCAGCGTGTTTTTTGAGCTTGCTTTCCAGATTACTTGGGTCTTTATAAGAATCGTCCGAAGCAGTCTGAAGCTTCTCAGTAATCCAAGAATTTAACTGTTTGAAAAGATACAGTAAACGTGAAGTTAAACTACATTAAACTGTCTTTATTTAGGGGCTGAGCCAGCTTACCCAGGTGCCCACCAATCCAGTTAAAATTTAAAGCATTTATTCCTACCTCCACAATATCCTGATAAAACTGGGCCAGCCTCTTCGAATCTTCTAAATTATCACGTCTTTGCTCGAGCAGATTCTGCAGCCTCTCATGACGTTGACACAAAACATCTACTCGCTCCCTTAACACATCACTAGCAAAATGTTCGTGACTTGCAAGGTTGTCAGATAATTCCTGTAAAGCCGCTATCTTTTCTTCTTGATTTAAGACAAGTTTTTCCAAGTTCTCGTGTCTCTTGAGGAGTGATTCAACTTCGTCTACAGCACTCCCAAGTTCCGCTCCAGCCATCACAAGCTAGAATTTATGAACCAGATAAAACTATCTTAACTTTATCAGGATAAAAGTTCAGGAATCGTATACACAACCAACTTTGCAGCGAGACGATACTGTCTACTTTTGTACGTAGAGAAAAGACATGTATTGGTCTTTGGATATGCACTGTGTGAATTTGATAGTAACTATATCTGAAAGTTCATGTCGCGTGGGTTATCTCTCAAGCTAACTGGAATAGTGTAATTCATAATAATAAATATCTTACCTCTTGTGAACTCATAATTGTTTCAATTTGTTTCGCTTCTTTCATAAACACAGCGAGTTCGTACATTTGATCATATTGTGTCTGACATTGCGTCCAGCTTTCATGTAACCTGTCTCTTTCGTTCAGCAATAACTCCACTTTTTCACTTATCTGTAAACGAATAAAAAGTTTATGTCTATCTTGCACTAATCCAATTATACTGATAATATAAAATTAGTTGAAATTGGTATGGTATGTATGGTATATGGTATGGTATGGTATGGCATAGTATGGTATGGTATGGTATGGTATGATATGATATGATATGGTATGGTTACTATGGTATGGTATGGTATGATATGGTATGGTATGGTATGGTACCTGTATGGTATGGTATGGTATGGTATGGTATGGTATGGTATGGTATGGTATGGTATGGTATGGTATGCATGGTATGGTATGGTATGGTATGGTATGGTATGGTATGATATGATATGGTATGGTATGGTATGGTATGGTATGATATGATATGAGATGAAAATGATCAAAGATTAAGATTTTTTCATTATAAAACTAATGTTTAATTATTGTTCACCTCTTCACTGGAATGATGTCCTGATTCGATCATCTGTTCTCCTTGTGCAATGACACTACCAAACATTTCCTCTCGAGCTTCAATTTCCTTCTTTCTCTCATCATGTCCTATGAGAAGTGACTCCACCGACGGAATGTCATCCACAACATCGACTATTTCCATTGAATGGATAATTTCTGCACACCACGACGTTAAATCACGAATCTAAATGCATACATACCACATAATGAGATGGTTAGATTGTATACATCTAATCCAAAAAAGGTTGTCCTTTGCAAACCTTAAACTCTAAACCTTTTAAAAACATTAACGCCCGTATTCTAAAAGCTCACTCACACTCACACTCAATGAGTGGAGGTTCAATCTAAGCTTCTCTTGAGTGTCAATGCTGTTTTTGAACAGCTGGAGGGTGAGTAGTCACATAGTAAGGTATGACACTAGCCCTCCAGCTATTCAAAAACAGCATTGACGCTCAAGAGAAGCTGAGATTGAACTTCCACTCATTGAGTGTGAGTGAGCTTTTAGAATACGGGCGTAAGCGTGCAAAGCTTAATGGGATCACAAGTTTCAAGCTTAGTAGTTAAATATTGCAGCTATTTTTGAATGAATTGTTTTCGTAAGGATATACTTGCCATGTCTCTAAGAAATGCGCCCCATATATGATTTCTAAACTGATTAAATGATGCTCCCATTATGATGCACGCTTAGAGTTTAAAGTTTATGGTTTAGAGTTTAAGGTTTGCAAAGGACAACCTTTTTTGAATTAGCTGTAAATGCAGAGAATTTGACACTAATGCTTCCACTTTGACTCAAATACTACAGGGCTTCTTCGGGTACTCTGGTACTACGTACTCCTCTATAGAGAATAGTGGAGATCTGATAAAATTATCCTGAATGAGTAAAATTACTTTAGTTATGTTAGTGTTTGGTGACTACTTACGGTACTGCTTAGATTGTACAACTGCAACGAATCCTCCAGTTTTTTCCTTCTAGTTTTAGACTTCTGTGTCAGTTCATTCCAACTTGTTGAAATCAAATGTTCCTGCTCATCAATCGCCTCAGCTGTTTGACCTAACAACGAAAGAAATCGGCATGAATTATGCAGCAAGTCGGCTGTACATTTATTGTGTTATCTGAGCAGTGGAAGATACATGCACAGTTGTACAATACTCCTGTAGTTGCGCCCAGCAGGGCAAACTAGGAAACATTGTTTCCTAGACATGTTTTCTAAAGGTCAGGATTATTCCTGCAACAAAAATCACATTTTACAAATGTTGTTTCCAAAGCAATGTTCCCAAGGCCTGGATGGTAACATTAAAGAAACTGACGAGCTTTAAATGTTTCCTACTTTTCTGGGCCTTTAGAAAACTGAGAGCATGGTACAGTGCTGATAGATCTAAACATAACTAAACAGCTAAATGTGTCACTGTCCGTGAATTACAACATAAAATAAACCTTTGTAAGCTTCTTTAAGTCGTCTGGATTCATTCAGTATTGCCAAAACTTCATTTCCCATTGGTTTCAACTCATGTTCAAATACTTCATGTTGTCTTTGTAAGGCCTGGACAGTTCCAGCATCTCGGCCAACATCGTCGAAAGATAAAGAGTTATCTTTCTGTTGAATACGATCCAGCAAGTCGTCAAGGTCGTTGCTAAATTTATGAATCTCTGAAGCACTGTGCAGTCTCTCTTGACGAGAAGAAATTTGGTCTTGAAGTTGACGCCACATCGATCTATACAAAAATAGGTGTAGTTAAGGTAATACAGGAGCATAGTCATACCTAATCTATAAAGGTGTTTATACGCCTTGAAGTCGAACCAATGCAAAACCAACCTTAAAATATCCTGTTCATCTTTTATCGTAACAGTCTCTGTGTGACCTTCAGCAACTAAGTCTTTTGCAAATCTGTCACATCGGTTGTACATCTCCGAATTCAGTGAAATGGTCTGGGTGAAGTCTTGAAATTTAGCTTGAATCTCCTAAAAATGTTGTATGAAAGGTCCTTCAATGATGCTGTGTTTGAAAAGTGAGGTCTAAATATAATCATCATCACCACCAATGATTACATCATCATCAGCTTTATTATATATTTCTATCAGCATCATAACAATCACTACCACCACAAAAACCAACAGCACCATCTTAACCACTTCCACAAACATCACTATTATCATCATCACCATGATACTCATTGCCACCATAATCCCCATTATCGCCACCACCATCATCATCACCACCACCATCATCATCATCACCACCACCATCGATTCACCTAGCCAGTTTCACCATCATTGCTATCTCCGCCAATTCATAATTTCACATCAAGTTCTCCACGGTATTCTCCATGGCAAATGGCAGTGCAAGTTCTAACGAATTCAAATAACAAGGGATTATGTTCACATGTTATGCAATACCTGTAAATGTTCAAAGTCGTGGCCATATTCTTCAGATGAAGCTACTTGTATCTGTTCATTGATCCAATCTGCTAGCTCATCGACTTCTTTTAAATACTGATATAGTTTATTTGCCTCGTTAAGTTTATTCAACCGCACTGTAACCAAAGTTTTCAAACCAAGGTATTGTTCATCAAGGTCCAACTAAAAAGTATGAAAATATGACGAAGTTATGACTGGTGATAACAAAGACATTATAACCTACATACAAGTGTCGTTCCTTCTTGTATAATGAAGCATCGATATACTATAAATGCATGGAAAAATATTTTAATTTTTCTTCCAAAACTTTCACACCCTTGTTCATAATATAGCTTCAGATTATTCTTAAATTTTCTTTTCCTTTCAAAGATTATACGAAGGTATAAAATTAGGAAATTTATCAAAGTGCCTTGACTTGTGTTTCAACTGCCTGAAAAAGATAAAAAAAAGTGCAGAAAGCTATTCGTCTGGAGTTGCTTAGTAATATAACAACTACAAGGTCCTTCTCTCAAAACCTTGAACGGTGTCTTTAATTTTTTCAATAGACACAAACCACTGCAGCTCACTTTTTAATGTATGCATGAGTAATCATATAACACTCCTCCATACCTGTCTTGTTTGAATGGTAGCAGAATCAAAATGTTTATTTTCAATCAATCGTCTTCCTTCTTTAGCCAGTTCGTCGATAACCGAGCCATAACTTTCGACATCAGTTATCAAGGCATTGTGTTTTGCAAGCAGTTTTTGACAAGACTTTTCGTCTTTGCCATAATCCTGGTTCGAGGCGAGACCAGCTTTTTCATTCATCCACGAATCTGCTTCGTTGGCCTCGGTAAAATACTAAATAATGCAAATGTACTAAGATTTGAAATAGGTTGTGCTTTGGTCCCGTGTTCATGAACAAGTGCACATTGCGATAGCCTTTATAGCTTTTACGTAACATGAAGTCAAACAGTATCCAGTTTTTGGGATAGCCGGTAGAAGCACCCAACATTCAAAGGCGAAATTGTATTCAGACAATGCATGTTGCAGAAATCTAATCATGGTAACAGACATCTCTGTTACATCAACCAATGTCCTACCAAGTTACTAAGTAAAAATAATTGCATTCAGAAAGGACTAACTTAGATTATAATATATAGCACTTGAATTTACATACAATATTTACTGCGCTATTGATGTTTCAACGTTGAACTACTATTTTTGAAAATGCCAAAAATTAGCATAAAACAACCTTATTTATTACCGATGTAGTTATTCTTGCTAAATTATAAATAGTTTTACTTTGGTTGTATCTCGCTCAATATTACATGCAAAATCAAGTGTTATATATCAAAATCTAAGTTAGTCCTTTCTGAATGCAATGATCTTTATTCCATTGCGATAGATTTTATAGCTTTTACATTACATGAAATCAAACAGCGGGGACACCCGGTGGTCTGACAGACAGGATTTCTCTGAATACTCCTATTTTCTCTTGTACAGTATTGTAAAACACTGGACCTCTTGAGGAAAGAGTTTAGGAATGATAGAGCCATCCGTCATCTCACCCTTTGTGACTCTGCAGCGTCCCCAAGCATATTTCTCCGTTGAGTACATTTTTCCAATAACTGTTCCCAAGATTCGGTCAATCTGTCACACCACTCCTCAATCTGATCTGTCGCAAAATGACCACTGTCAATCAACTCTTGACCAGCGCCCAAAACTTCGTCTATTCTCTGTTGACGGTTTGCCACTTCTGTTTCAAACGCCTAGTAATATGATGGTGCTTTCAGTATTTAAAACTAACTAATGTCCCTTTACAATAAATTAAAGCCAATACAGAGATCAGATTTTGACTTCCATTACCACTGCCGCTATCGCTACCTTTAAAGTGCGATTAACCGCAAACATACTTTTTGGTATCTGTAATATTTGGGTCATTCTGAGAAGAAATGTAAAGTATCTTTATAGTAAAAAACCTCATCTTGATCAACTTTTTCACTGTCAAAGTTCCAGATATGATGTCATTAGATAAATTTTTATACAAAAAGCAGCAAAGGAAAAGTAATTTGCAATTCCTCCAAATGACATCATATCGAGAAACTCTGACAGTGAAAAAGTTGATCAAGATGGGATTTTTTATTATAAAGATATATTACATTTCGTCTTCGAATGACCCAAATATCACACATACAAAAAATCGTATTTGAGGTTTGTCGCACTTTAACCAATCAGATGCATTTACAGTAATCTACCCGATTAGCCAATCAAATGTATTTTAAGGCAGTGAGATCGAGGTAGTCAAATGGGAACATCTCCAATATAAACCTGATGACGTCTTTGTAAATTTTGGACCGCAATGTAACTCGCTCCCAGGTCCTTGGATGAGACATGATAGAGATGTTCTTGAATGGTGGATAGTTCATCGTCAACATCTCGTCCAAACTGATGAAATGCCAGGGAGTCATCCAACTGAGCATGTCTAGCACTGGCCAGATCACAAACTTGACTGAACCTAAGAGAGAGAATTGTAATTTTGTATATTAGTGAAGACCCGTTTACACTTCTTCCGAAAGATGTACTGTAATTCAGCTTACCTGTTGATGTAGCGTGTTACATCATCGCTAATTTTCACAATATCAAAGAATTGCTGTTGTCGCATGAACGCAACTTTTTCTTCGACACTCTCCACGTTTTCTTGGTGTACCTGTATTTCATTTTCTTGACTCTGGTGAAAAATTACAAACTAGAGATCAATCTAAAACTAAACTTTACTAACCTAACAATATATGTATATTGTCATTGCAAGGGTCATCGTTTTTATCCAATGTTAAGAAAACAAGAATGTTGAAGAAAAACTGCAGAGTAACATGCGCTAACCACTATACCACGAATAAGTCAACGAACCTGTTGTTTCCGTAGTAAAAATTTCACGTCCATCAAAGTTTCGCCAACATCAGAAGATGAGAGCAGTGTTTCCATATCGTTTAACCACAATTTTTCATCCTCCAAAAGTCGAGTCAATCTCAGTTGGTCGGCTGCTTGATTCAATCGTATTCCTTTCTCTGATGAACATTTTAGTAAATTTGACCACAAATCATTAAGCTTCTTCATTCTTTCAGAAACATTTTCACACCCAGGATTGCCTTCAGCGAGCAGATTTTCTCCATTCTGAAACGAACAATGCACAGTGAAGTTGGCTAATCAAAGTAATTTTTAGTAAAAGAAATTGTTCACAATATACCTGGCAAAGTCGTTTATACTCTGGTTGGTTCGCAGTGATTTCAGCTTCAAATGCTTGATGTTTTAAAATCTTCTTGTTAATGTTGGCTGCATCGCGGTGACTCTCATCACACGCGACTAGCAGTTTCTCGTTTATCCAAGATACGAACTGCAGGAACGAAAGAAGAAATGTTAATGATTTGTGTCTGTTACACACGCGAAAATCTCAAATCTTGTCAACAGGATGCGTTCGTCTTCTCAACAAGATAAGTTCACAACAGGTTTGTAGCAAGCTTTTCAACCAGTTGTAACAATGTTGTCAGTTTGTCAACTTGTTGCAAGCATGCCACTGACAACTACTGTAGTCAACAGGCTGGGAACCGGCAAACATTGCTAACACATGAACACACTGCCAGCACAAGTCTACTGCAGCTTTGCTATTATGTCTGTTTTGGTAAACATTAAAAACATATCAACGATACGAGCAATGGCTTTTCGCAAGAAGAACATACTTAACGCTCGAGCAGAACTAAGCTGCTTACCTCGTTTACATCCCACAAGAACTGGTGTAAAACTTTGCTCGACAAAAGTTTGTGCTTTCTTTCCTGTGCAAGCTGTTTCACTGATCCACGCCTCTTTAACACCAGCTCCTTTCTCGCCAAGATCCTATAAAGAAAAGAAATGCCACAGTCGTATATGGGAAGACTGCCTTTTTCCCTGTGACAAACACTGCAGGCCTCCACTTCACTGGGCCTTTATATACTGTAGAGAACAGTTTAAAACTGAAAACACCGAGCCTGAAAACAACCGACCCTGAAAACACAGAGCCTGAAAATCCTGAGCCTGAAAACAACCAAGCCTGAAAACTGCGAGCCTGAAAACAACCGAGCCTGAAAACAACGAGACTGAAAATCCTGAGCCTGAAAACAACCAAGCCTGAAAACTGCGAGCCTGAAAACAACCGAGCCTGAAAACAACGAGACTGAAAATCCTGAGCCTAAAAACAGCCAAGCCTGAAAACTGCGAGCCTGAAAACAACCGAGCCTGAAAACAACCGAGCCTGAAAACACCGACCCTTGAAATCACCAGCCTGAAAACAACCGAGCCTGAAAATCCTGAGCCTGAAAACACCGAGCCTGAAAACACCGAACCTGAAAACCCTGAGCCTGAAAACACCGAGCCTGAAAACACCGACCCTAAAATGGCATATTCAGTGATATTCAGATGTTGTAATATCCGTACATACAGTACAGTACCTTTCGGTGTCATAATGATTAGCTCCAGCCAGACAATCGGCAGTTTCTTTTAACGCAGTGACTTTTTCTTCTTGAGCCTCAAGTGACTTTCCAAAGTCGTTGTGCTTCTTCAAGAGACTTTCCACCTCGTCAAGGGAGTCCTACAAAATTAATTCCACATGGTTACACCGTGGTTTTATAATTCAATCACATTGCTTTCTGGTGCTGAAATAATAGAACCCGTCCTGTATTGCGATTTACAGAAACCTGCGAAAGCATTCGCCTCGTATGTTATTAAGGTGAAACTTTGGACATACTGCAGGAAACCAACTAAAATGTATACAAAAGTGAACGATATAGTACATACAATTACCATTGTCGCCCAACCCAGTGGCGAAACCAGCCCGAAAATTTGGTCATGCTATGCAAATTTGAAATCATTATTCATTTCTTTAGAAATTGATTGTCTTCACGATCTATTAACACGGAAATATTTGCATAGCGTAAACAATTTGTCGGGCTGACTTCGCCACTGGCCCAACCAATACGTCTACTATTTAATCAAAGATGTGTACCATACCCCTGTTTCAGCGTTTGCTAAGTAAGACAGTTGAGATGCCGACATAGCGTTTATTCTTTCAGCATCACGGATAAACACCTAAATAAGAAGTCAACAATTAATCTGAAACTATTCGGCAATACTGTGAAAAGGAATGATAAAAAAGAATGCATAATAAGACAGTATTTCATACCAGCAAGTCAAGATCTTGGTGTAATTCCTGGTCACGTCTTTGCCAGATGTCAGCCAACGTTTGGTATTCGCCCTGGAGATCTACTATGTTGTCTCGTATTCGATCAGCCTTGGGATTCTTTTTCAGAAGAGTTTTACCATAGGCTACCAGCTGATCGAACCTAAAACAGACCAATTGAAATATTACGCTTCACTCTAACTTGACCAACCAGGTAAATGGGTTTGTACCACATGACCATGGTATTTTTAAAACATTACCGCGAGGGATAAAATATCCCGAGGGCAAAGTCCATGATACCCCCTTGTTCCAGATCTACTCTACAGGGTGTATCAAAAAAAACTGAACAGATTTAAAATTGCTCTCAATTTCGCAAAACAGTTATTTGTAGCTGGTTTTTATATATATAGCTTCTTTGGGTACTTATAATGTAAAATAATGAAAAAAATTTCTCGAACTTAAATTTTGTGAACCAGGGGGGTGTGTCTTTTCCAACAAACTAAAAATGGCTCGCGCACAAAATTTAAAAGCTGCAATCATATTTTGAGATAACAGATGGAAAATTGGTCGGGATTTCAATTACTGTACAAAATTTCAGACAATTTGGTTTAGTTTAAGCCCCTTAACTATTCACGCAAAGTTACAATTTTCCCGAAAAATCAGCTATTTGCATGCTTAATTAATGCATTTGCCTAATTTGCATATGTCAGCAATATGCAAATTAGGTAAAGGCATTAATTAAGCATGCGAAAGGCTGACTTTTTAGAACAAAATGAATAGTTAAAGGGCTTAAACTAAACCAAATTGTCTGAAATTTTGTACAACAATTAAACACCCGACAAATTTTCAATCTATTAACTCAAAATATGATTACTGCTTTTAAATTTTGTGCGCGAGCCATTTTTAGTTTGTTGCAAAAGACACACCCCCCTGGTTCACAAAATTTGAGATCGAGAATTTTTTTCAATATTTTACATTATAAGTACCCAAAGAAGCTATATATATAAAAAACCAGATACAAATAGGTGTTTTGCGAAATTGAGAGCAATTTCAAATCTGTTCAGTTTTTTTTGATACACCCTGTATAGCTGGTAAGTACGCTGTATACAACGAGGACAAGAAGTAGTAATATTATACGAAGTCACTTTTTACAGTCTTACAATCATATCTGTGTAGCTCGTTGTATGTATATGTTGATTGTACATCCCGCGTTGTATATGCAGTATAAATATAATGTCATTTCGTCTGAGTGCTTCAATCACACATAAAACTTTACTTCGTTCTGACCTGTCTTTATAAGAATTAACATCTTCCCATAACGCTTTGTGACTATCAATCATCTTTTTCGCAGTTTCAATATCTTGAGGCTTTTCCCTGAATTCCAGCACTCTCTTCTTGTCCAGTGACCAGTTGAGCTGCAAGAAATCAAATACTATAATGTTCAGACAGAATCAGTCAGAGGTGTGATGCACATACACTAACCACTATGGCACCAACACCTAAACAGCTTATCTAATCTTACCAGATCTTTAGAGTCAGCCAAAAACCCTTGCTGACCATAGGCTTCATTTAACGACGTACTTCGTTTCACAGCTTTTTGCTGAAAAGAGTGAAATAAACATTTGTTTGTACAACATAAGCAAAAACTCTTATTTTTTAAATATCTGTCTTCTCTTCATGTCAAAGGCTGAATTAATGACATCATAAGCAGAATGAAAATTGTAAAATCCTGCCATGGAAGTGAACCATCCAAAATCGTAAGGCAAACACATCCATGAGATGAATATCCAAGTACTGTACCTTTAACGAGTTGAAGAGTTTCTGTGTTTCCATTTCTTTCTTGCGAATTTGACTGACCTGCCCTGGATGACGTTGGACTAAACTGTGAAGATGAATTGTACAGCGTAGTTAGTAGTTTTTACTGTATAAACATTCATAGCATTACTTTCTAAGATAACAAAGAAAATAGTCAACCTGTTAGCTTGTTCCTTAATGTTCTGTAGTTTCTTTTCGAAAGGTATTAATTCCCTCTCAAAGTCCTATGAAAATAATATTAATATCAAATGTAAAAAATTTATTAACATTATACAATTTAAATTTATGTATAGTACAGTACAGTACATCAAAAATTTTCTTACTGACCTGGTGTTTGCGTTGAAGTTTCCGAACAGTTTCTAAATCAAGATCGTGAATATTTCCAGACAAAATGTTCTCTTTCTCTTTCATCCAAGAAACCAATTCATCACAGGAATTGTTGAACAACTGAGCACTACGAATAAGAATTAACAAGAATTTTTGTCAGTTTTGTAAGGGCCATCATTATTGATCCAGTGTGAGTACAGAAGGAAAAGCTGCACAGTTCCCTGCAATCAAACTGGAACTACATTATTGTACTCTTCCCACAAGTGATATTACAATCAGACAATTGCATATTGGTGGAATCAAACACTTGTCACAGAAGTGCCACCACATTTTCAATCCCATTAAAGAGTTGAAGAGATCTTTTTCTACGAATACTCACCCATGTTTCTCCTCCAATTCATTCATCTTTCCCTCCACAAGGATCTTTAAATTACTCCACCTAAAAACATTTTACCCACATTAAATTCAACCTCTTCAGGGCCCGCAGGGAGAACAGCATTCGCTGATGGAGTCACCCAGCATAAAGCTTAAATCCATACATTGTTCAATAATCTACAAGTTTACCTTTTTACAATGAATTCTTTTCTATTCTTAATTTCGTGAATATCAGGTCTCTCTGATTCAAGTAGTTCCCTCACAAGGCCACTAATCACGTCCAAGCGACTGGCATTTGCGGCCATTTCTCGTACAAGTTTCTATACGTGGGTGAAAAATACAAGGATCAGCATTACTACTCACACACATTATTAAAACTCCTTTTAATACCGCACCTCTAATCGCTTCTTAGCTGTAAAATATTCGTCATCACCACAAACGGCTTCAGTACTTAACCATTTTTCCTATGTAAATAAAGATATATCGTGGGCGTTATTTGGAAATTGATACCCCTGTAGTCTCAAACTGGAAGTACTTTTCCTATAAGCGAATAATTACTTATAATTAGACACAAACTGCATATTACAGGAATTAAACCCCACAATCACAGAGATGGAAATGGTGTATGCATCATTGTGCTACCAACAACAAAAATTTTCTGACCCTCAAACTGTGAGTCAGCAAGTAAGTAATACTGTCTTCCAGCTTTATGATTGTGCAAGAAATACATTCACAAAACACAAAAAGTCACCATTACATATTTCTACCTTGCGCGCAATCCACATTTCAAGTTCGTCGCTCTCGTGACAGAATCGAAAATATTTCTGCGAATATTTCAAATTCTCTTGTCTTATCTGTGTGAAACGAAATCAATGTTTGAATATTACCATATCAAATACAGTAAGTTAAATGCTAGCTACAATAAAACAAACTAACCTCTGATAACTCCAGTAACTTCTGGTACATATTTCCAAGAGTCAACTGTCTTACGGCGGCATTATCTCGATCAAAATGAGCGGTAAAATGTCGCTTCACACCACGTCTACTTTTATCTTCGAAACCAAAAGGTTATTTCAGAAGACATTCTACACCAAAAGAACCACGCACCAAAACGCACACAAGACAAGATTTGATGTTTACTTACTTCTGTTTCTACCCAGGCGTGAAGAAACTGGTGGAGATTTTCTTTTCGGTTCAACTTCTCGTTTTCTTTCCACCTGTATCTTCTTTTTAACTTTTCTTTTCACTTTGATAGTTTCTGGCACCATCACCGTCTCTTTCGCCATCTTCTTGATAACCCTTGGTTCAATTTCCTTGATGTAATTCGCTGGAACGTAACCACTCTGGCGGGAAGTTTGGCGCCTGAAAGAGAATTAATCTTTTAGCCATTATACAGGAAATTGTATGTTTGAAGTAGCTTGACATCCTCCCGATCTCCACAGTGTTCCATTCGTTGAAAATTGTATAATTATTGTATCTGCTATAGTAGTACCTTACACTCCACCAGTCTTTGTTTGATTTTGCTAAAACATACAAGATCTAAAATAAACAAAACAAAAGCGGTCAGATATAAAAGCTGTACTCATACGGGCAAACAATCTTGTTGTAAAAAACCTGTGATGATCCCTGGAAAAAATGTGAAATCCATACTATGAAATTTGCAATTGCACCACTGAATCCATAGTATATCCATACTATTTCGATACTATATCCATAGCATCTGCATGGTAGCAGAGGCGCCGGAACATCGATAATTGCGGGGGCAGATATTCATATATTCGTGTTCACAGACTGTAAAAACAATCGATTTCAAAAGAAATTAATTGGGCAGAACACGAATATATGAATATCTGCCCCCCCCCCTCCCCCAATTATCGATATTCCGGCGTCTCTGCATGGTAGTATACAATTATTATGGATAATCAAAATCCATTCTACTTCCAATAAATGTCCATACAATTTCCATTCTATGGCCTTCTGTGGATTTTCAATTTTTTTTCCAGCGAATCTGTCATGGCCACAGGGTAACGTGGTTACACAACAAATCCCTGAAAAAAGTCAGTAACCTGACCGACAAAAAAGCTCGCATTACCACCGTTATGATAATGTAAGCATATAATACAACAAAATGACGAAGCACTTAAGACGTATGGTGGGAATAGCCATAAATATAGCCCTTACTTCGTCTTTATTCATAGTAATTCCTGATCCAGTGAAAGGATAAAGTGCTTTAGCTTGAGGAATCTTCACTTCCTTGACAACATCTTTAATTACTTCTTTTTCAATTACTTCCTCCACTTCTTCCTCCAATTCTATTTCTTGTTCTTCATAAAACGTTTCATAACTTGGCTCACTCGAATCAACTCCAACATCATCCTACAGCAGTACACAATTACAGAAACATTAGAATTTGGAGCAATTCTTACTTGTACACCAATTTACCCCAGCTTATCAATGAGTTACATTAAAATTATGTTTGGTCAATTGCCCCCAAAAAATGTTCCCTACTTTCCCTACTATCCAGTAGCATCAATAAAAACACATTTGCAGCCACCTGGTGCCCAAGAAAAAATATCTAAGATAATTAAAATGACATCAGACAGGCAAAATATTATAATAGTACAGTAGGATGTATTATCAGTAGATTTATAAAAGAAACCAATTTCTATTTACTTGTTTATTTTCGTTCCTTTTCGTCTGATTTGTCTCATTCATGAGTTGGCTTTGTTCTTCCAGTTTCTTCACATCACTTCTGAATGCTTCAATTTCGTCGTGAATATGAGCATGTCTTTGGAGTAATGACTGCAAAATAGAACGATCAATACTGCTGAACGAGTAAAAATATTCCTATTAACAACCACAAATTAAATAAAGCGCTTTCGTATGCCTAAAGAGTAATTCCATTTCAACACAAAAAAAACTGATTTGACACCCACCCTCTCCAAATTTCTTTATATTTCGCAGGCAGTTAACATTGTCTGGGAATAGTTTGAGTTCAAAATTTGAGCATCGTAGCGGCTGCAATAGTTTTTGAGATATCGCAATTCGAAATATGGCCCGAAAAGCAAAAAAGTGGGCGTGGCCAGTCCTAAATTCACCGTTATCCTATATTACATTTTGACCTGTAACTTCATATCCGTACATGGTATATCCATCACAATTTGCACAAATATGTATTTGTATGTGGAGATTTCAAATATTGCACTTTCATCTTTGTATCTGCAACCAGTAATGTGTTATGGCACAGCAAAGAGTCTAATTATGTGTTTCTGAAGACACAAAATATACATCATCTTTATTGGAAAAATTTTTGTGGAAGCCATACAGACACAACAGTAATTTTTATTCCACATCATATTCACATGCTATTCTACTTTTAAGCAAAATTTGGTGATGGTTAGTTGCCTGCTTTAAAAAGTAGAGCCCTTTAAAGTTGTCGTATTTTCTAAATAACTTTAATAGTACGTTTCGGGTGTTTGTTAAGAATAAAATACATTCATTGAGAAATGGGACTGCCAAATACCTTAATGTTTCATTCGATCCTTCTTTATTGATAGTGCATATTTAAAATTTGTTTTAAAAGTTTAAAAATTACATATTTATTAATAGTACATACACAAAAAGAATATCAATGGATCAAAAGTATGCACTACAATTTATTTCTTATCTACCCCTGCTCGTGAACCAATTGTACTTTCAGTGAACGCTTTTATTGTATGCTTGTAAAATGATGAAAAATGGCTTGGTTTGATTGAAGAAGTTGGCAATGATCAAAGAAATGCAAAAATTAATAAGGTTTATGCACCCAAAGTGCATCGCAAGATCATATTTCTGGCCAGTAAGAGGATACTTGTTAGCGATTGACCGATAATTGCGTCGTGTACTCGTGTCAGCCATACGTTTCAACGGAAACTCTTAAACATCTTTATCGAGCTTTAGTCCAACCACACTTTGATTACTGCTCGATGATTTGGGGTAACTGTGGCAAATCTTTAAGAGGCAATCTTCAGAAACTCCAAAACTGAGCTGCAAAAGTTATTACGGGTGATTCATATGAAATAAGCTCCATAGATATTTTAAAGAAACTAGATTGGAAAACGTTAGGTGAAAGAAGGACGGAGCAACGACTAAAATATGTATCAAAAGCACTTACATGCCAATTTCACGATAACATTTCGGACATGTTTAAACTATATAATTGAGATCGATATGAATTAAAAAATAACAAAAATAAGTTGATGTTGTTGAAGCCAAAAACAAATTCAATGAAACGAACTTTCGGTTATGCCGCCGCTAAAGTTTGAATGAAAGAAATAAATTTTTTATATAATTTTATCTGGGTGGGGTTGGAGTGAAAAATAAACTTTGAATGTCTTTCTAATATTATTTGGGTGGTTCGGGGAGGGTGGGTGCATGGGAATCTCTTATACTGTCTGTAAGTACACGGCCTAGTGAAAAGTAACGACAACCTTGCTAATATTTTTTTAGTTGATTAGCTATCGTGTTACAAGATGTTTTTAATAAAAAAATATATATAATCGGAATCCTCGATTTTTGCTTATCGGTAGACAATCGGAATCGGTAGAATAATTTGTATTTTCCGATTGTGTAAACCGATTGTTGAGAAAATACGCACTTTAAAAATCATATATATTGCGCGGTGATACACGTTGAATGCACTTTTTTATGTGAAAACAACAACTGTTTAATCTCTTGCGCGAACAGTAGCGTGTTGCATAGTAGGTGTGGAGCAAACCGTTGCCGCGACGAAATAATACGTGAAGCGTGTCATTTATGTACAGGTTTAACAAACTTTGGTTGCTACTAGTAACATGTTACGTTGGAAATTATCATTAAAATCTCGAAATGAATTATGACATCATAGAAAATCAGAATCGGGTAGATTATTGGATGAATAATTGATAATAATTGGTCAATTACTAATACTTGTTGGGTTTCGGATGAGAACATTATTTCTAACATTGGTGTTCCAACAATAGTCACTGGGAGGCAGTACAAACTGCAGCCTAAAGACCAAGAAGTCTTACGCACATTCATGGATAAACAGTAGTGATCTCTATATATACAGCATCGATTTTGATCAAAGGCAATTTGATACAAGAAATAACAGTTACTCTTGGAGAACATAATGTACTATTAAAAAAGAATGATAGAATCAAACATTAAGCTATTTGGCAGTCTCATTTCTCAATGAATGTATTTTATTCTTAACAAACATCCAAAACGTACTATTAAAGTTATTTAAAAAATACGACAACTTTAAAGGGCTCTACTTTTTAAAGCAGGCAACTAACCATCACCAAATTTTGCTTAAAAGTAGAATAGCATGTGGATATGATGTGGAATAAAAAGTACTGTTGTGTCTGTATGGCTTCCATAAAATTTTTTCCAATAAAGATGATGTATATTTCGTGTCTTCAGAAACACATAATTAGACTCTTTGCTGTGCCATAACACATTACTGGTTGCAGATACAAAGATGAAAGTGCAATATTTGAAATCTTCACATACAAATACATATTTGTGCAAATTTTGATGGATATACCATGTACGGGTATGAAGTTACAGGTCAAAAGGTAAAATAGGGTAATGATGAATTTAGGACTGGCCACGCCCACTTTTTTGCTTTTCGGGCCATATTTCGAATTGCGATATCTCAAAAACTACTGCAGCCGCTACGATGCTCAAATTTTGAACTTAAACTATTCCCACACAATGTTAACTGCCTGCAAAATATAAAGAAATTTGGAGAGGGTGGGTGTCATGCCTGTGTTGAAATGGCATGGAATTACTCTAAACTATTCCTAATCCTTACAACTCTATTCCCATCCCTAATAGAACACTACAGTAACACCAACTTGACCTAATACTTACTACTTTTTTGCAAAAGTCATTTGATGTAATGTTAAGCGATACTTATACCGGCTAAAGAGTGACAATGGTATGATAAAGACGAAGAATCATACGCAATCTACCTGTGCTGTTTGTTCATCTCTACCATAATCTTCACTTCCAACCAAAACGTTTTTCTCTTTTATCCAGGATTCAGCATCATTAGCATCCGAATAATACTAAAATATTCATGAAAATTACTAATGAGACTAATCTATTGTACCACTTTACACACAAATATAAACACACAAAACCAATCCTTTCAGAAGACAGGCTATCACCTGAAGAGGTTTTACCTGAAGTGACTGCACGGCATCTTTCAATCTGTCACCTCTGATTTCAACCAATTCCTTCAAGTGACTAAAATTATTCTGAAGTAATTTCACTTTCATTAGAATATCGTTTGCTGCATAATGACTTTGTTCGATCATAGCCTGGCCTTTCGTGCAAACTGCATCACAAGATTTTTCATGTTTCGTAACGGTGGCCTTCAAGTCCTGCAAATTACGTGGAAAAGCAAAACGTAAAAAATTATCAATGACATGTAGAAGGGATGACATGTCTCCACAACGATATACCCAGGACCAATGGCCTTTAAACGGGATATTTAAACGAGTACTACAGTATATAAATTCCTAAACATGTAACAACCACAATAAGCATTTTAGGGCCTCTAACTGTTGTTAATAAATTATTATTAATGAATTATTAATAAATGTTTGTCCATCTGTACCTCGTGTTTCTTCAACAACCGTGTTAAGCTGACTAAATCTCTTCCAACGTCTTTAGAAACCGCTTCTCTTTCTTTCTCTTTGATAAAAATATCTTCTTCTTCCCATTCTTGATAGAATGCATGAAGGCGACGAGATTCTTCAAGCTTCAACTTTCTCTCGTTTGACAACGATGATATTGTCTGGAAAAATAAAACTCTCTGAAAAAGGACCATCGGAAACATCCGAATTCGCTTCAGGTGAGCCAAATCTACTGTAGTGCTGCAGTAGATTTAGAATATGCGAGTCCATATTATACCTTGTATAATTCGTTCAGAGATCTATAATGTTTATCCAGGACATTCTTTTGTGGATGATCTACGTTCATCAAACTGTTATATTTTTTATCAATTTCTCTCAGTCTCTGAGACTGCATTGTGATTTCTTTCTCTACGATCAAGTGTTTCTGTAGCAAGCTTTCCACATCTGCCAAATGCTTGCCATAGTCGATCGATTTTAGTGGAATCTATAAAAAGAAAAGCTTTTATTATGAATTTCTTGGGATGTTGGTGGCGCACTGGTTAGATGAGCCTCGACTGATTGAGAAATTGACTACTCCAGTCTAATAAAATTAGGTTAGTTAGTCCTTCCTTCACGATATCAAGTTATTTTCCAAATCCTATACCCCAGTCGTATATTGTACATCACCTCAAGATTCTGCAAGGCCCCTCCTACGTCTTCAATATCCCTGAATACTCCAACAAGTTTCGCAAGTTCCAGCAACTTCTTATGACGAACTGCTACTCGTTTCTTTAATTTTGTCCATTTGGTTATAATTATGACTTCCCTATAAACAGCAAGCATCAGAATATGCACACAGTACATTGTATATGTACTCCCTAGACTGGAGTGTCGGATCATGAAATCAATTTAATTTCTTCAAGGATTGCACTTATTACCTAAACCAGAGCAGCGAGGGCAACATTTTTTGTTGTTTACCTTTTCTTAACAGCGACAATACCATGATACTGTTCACTCTCAAGTTGTTGCACTATGGACAATACAACGTTAAACCTATCTTCCTAAAAACAAAAATATTTACATAAAATATTTTCTTCAACATTGCACGTTAGGTATTCACACATACTGTAAGTGGTTTTCAACAGACATCACAAAGCACTTTACATCACTTTTTGTGAAGAATTTTAATTCCTTGTGTAGGTTTAAATCGCGAAAGTAAATGTGGCTGATTTTACCCTTGATTGTATATCGTGTGAAATAGCTTCATGTCTCTTCAAAGTACTGTCAGCTGTGGAAATATCATCGCCACTTTCTTCTTGTTCCAGCACATGCATCATATCATCTAGCCACGATTCCCGTAACATGGCCTGGAAAAAACGAAATAGATCTTCATAATGTCTCTTTTGTGGGGTTTTTTATGTTACTTTGAGTGTATATCCACACCGAACAGGCTGAAAAGTTGGGTGGAAAGGTGGGTTCCCACCGTGGTCAGGCTAACTTTTCAGCCTGTTCGGTGTGGATATACACTCCGAGTAACATAAAAAAACATTATATTCACCTGAGTATACATAACATCAAACCACGCTAAAAATATCAAGATCTTCATAATTCGCCAAAGCTAAGAAATAGTCCGAAATGAGGAAAAAACTCACTTTTCTGTTGAACTTTTCCGCCAACTGTCTGAGATTTTCTTGTCTGAAAAATGTAAAATATAACTGTAAATTTATTTTTTTATTTAGTTCTCGCTTTTCCGTTCTCTTTTTGATCCAGTGTTACTACACGAGGAAAACGGAGTACCAATATAAAACCTACTGTGTTTGGTAGAGTCAAACTGGAATGAAGAGTAGATTTGGTAGGGCCAAAATGGAGATGAAATCATAAACAGACAACTGTATATTGCAGGGATCGGTAGGAGGCACATGCCCTTTATGTGCAGTTATTACAATACAAGTAACCCACCTCAATAGTTCCTTTCGAAGAGCAGTCTCGCGCTCGTGTTCAGCGCCTTCCATGTTCTCCCAGGCTTTACTGATATCAACTATCATCTTGCCAGATGGTACGATATAACGACTTTGTTTGTTCGCTTGAATCTTTGTATTGACGGCGAACAGATGCAGCTCAATATTCATTCTCTCTGTATTTCTAACCAAAATAGTTGAATAATTAAACTTACAGTAACTAACTAAACTTTATTTCTTCTAGATAGCTTCTTCAGTTCTGAACCATCCTCCATAGAGGTCACGTAAGGATAATCCTTTACTGGTCCAGTGATACTACAGCAGGAAACTTTAATTAAACAAATTTTACACTGGATAGCCCAATCACTTCTAAACTGTTCTTCCTAAAGGTCCAATAAAGGTCGTCTTGATAAGCCTTATGATACCTACAGTGTTTAGTAAAGTCAAATTGGAAGTACTCTTCTTATACGAATTTCCAGAACAAACTGTCTTTAATTTACAGGTACATTTAAATTAATGAATGGTATGGCGATCACAAATTAAAATTCTCCAAGCGAACTCACTTTGGCGGTTTTTCAACAGTTCTAAAATGTTTAAACCGAAGCATTTCCTTCTGAACAACAGGCAAGGATCTTGTAAAATCTTCTTGTAGTTCTAAGATCTTCTTGTGTATCCATTCCAACAACGACGTCACCATGTTCTCATATTGCTTCTTCATCTCATCAATTTCCATCATCACACCAACAATCTGTTGAAATGAGGGCGAGGAATCATTGATAGCCGAATATTTAATAAAAACACGTCTCATTCGTTACATATGCTTGTTGACCTTCCTTCTTTTGAAAATCATTTTTTACCTTAGCAATTCTTCTACCGCCCGTTTCTTCAACTTTCATTTTCGCAAAATAATGATAATATGCAGAGATGTAGGTCATGATGGATTTATCATCGGGTCGTGGACAGTTCACGTCTGACAAGAAAACAACAATTCATAAACGAATGTTGAAGTCCAGTATGAGCAGTATTAATACGTCTACAATATTCTACAATTCACCAAGTAATATCGTGCTGAATATGGTGTGATCATCTGACAGATACGGCATCCAAGTGTCGAGAAAATTATGTAAATAATTTCTTCCATCATATTTTTTGTGTGTGTTTTGATGTTATGTACTGAGTGTATATCCACACCGGACAGGCTGAAAAGTTTGCCTAAACACGGTGGAAATTGAACCCGCGACCTTTATGCTCTTCCAACCGCGCTACGAGGTCAAGTCAGTTCAAGTGTGTGGTATTTCGGAACTAAGTCTATATATATTATGATTTTTTCTGTGTTGGTCTTGTGTACTCTCAGTCTGGTGAATATGATGTTTGTGATGTTACGTCTATATAGTATCTTCGATACCGATGTGTTCTTATGATCATAAGAGATGTGTGTGTTTTAATGTTATGTACTCAGGTAAATATATGTTTCTGATTCGCGGGTTCGTTCGAACTTTTCAGTCTGCCCGGTGTGGATATACACTCAGAGTAACATCAGAAACATCATTTCTTCCATCGCTAAGTGTACTCTGAATTTTTTGCGTCTTTAAAAAAATTCGAATCTGATTGGTTACCTTCCGCGTCCAGCAGTTTTGCTATGCCAAGACTGCCCCAAGCCACGTCGAAAGCATTATTGATATTGAATTCATGATTACTTGGTCTCAGTGAATCGTACGATATCAGATCCGGCCTTCAAAGGAAATGAATATAGAATGTAGCACAGTATTTGACGTGGTTGGAAATATAATTTCAATCAAAACAAAAATCTTGTGTTCAATGCAATCACCTGTGTTTATGTATTAATGCATTGAATGCCAAACCATTTTTCCAGCTGGTACTAAAATTCTGAATGTCCACTCCAGGATATCTAGTGTACGGAAAAGTTAAATATCAGGGGCTGGTGTATAAAAAGGTTTAATATAAAGTTAACTACAGTTACTGCGAAAGTAAACCAATTAATTTTCGAGTTAACTACAATTTAACTACAAAATAGTAGTTAAGAGTTTCATGCAATCGGTTCACTCCTGTACCGTGATCAGGGCTGGAAAAAAACAGGTGCGCACGCGAGCACTGCTCGCAGGAAATATTAAACAGCTGCAGGGAATTCGTTTGAATGAAAATTTGCTATTGAAAATTTGAAGGAAACCTTAACACCCATGTCCCACTATGGGCGCAACAACATATGGTTGACAGACATTATTCCTGGAATTTAAAACCATGGTCAGCTAGAACACTATATGTTTATGCACATGCAGATTTAGCGCAGGAAATTTTTGTCTCCAGGTTGTGCTCCCAGGAAGAAAATTATTTTTTTCTGCCCTGACAGTGACTTCATCTGTTAGTCTTAACTACTGTACAATTACCCTTTGGTTTTTCTTTGACACCAGAGCAGCAACGCTTCTTTCGCTGATTTTCTTTCACTAGAACCATCGTCCTATACAAAAAAGTTGGCCATTGTTGTCAGAACACAATTTCACCAGTATGGTATAATCATTGTCCTGTAACTTACTTCCACAGAAATTTCTGCAATCTGAAATCTTAAGATAATCATCCACATCAGACCAAGAATCAACATTCCATTACCATCCACGATGTCCTCGGCACCAACACCAACTAACTGAACCTACAACACAAACAGAGGCACAAGCTGAATAAATGATTCCATGAGCTATAGACTAAATTTTGTTCTAGGCAAGAAGAACCTAATCCATCAGCACAGCTAGAAAGAGCATGTTAAAATTAGTAAAATTGCAAACTTTCGTTGTAAAATGTTGTAAAATTTAGCCCTGCGCAATTTGCAAATTTTGTATTAATTTGTATTACGCACGGGAAAATGCACCACTTAATTTCGGCCCAAATATGATGCATTTTCCCGCGCGTAATACAAATTAATACATGTAATAATTAATACAATTAATATGGGTAATATTAATACAATTAATATGGGTAGTGTGTGTCATATGTCTGTTGTATGTGCGTGTTGTACAACCTATGTACGTGTTCTAGTGTGCTAGTTTTACGTGTTATATCTACTGTATTTGCGCGCTACATCTGCGTGTTGTGCTGTATACACCACCAATATATGGTTATTGTTTGCAATTGTTTAATTGCTTTCATTATATACTTTGCATTACCTTCACCTGTTAGTGTATATAATTTTTCCATAAAAACTTACATGTTTCTGAAGAAATGTCAATGCTCTGCTGACACTCTCTATCTTGTGCAGTCTTAGATTGCCTCGTGCTAGTAAAATTATTAAATCATTTTTAGCACATTTTCAAGTATTCAAAAATACGAACAGGTGGAAGAAACGGTTTAAAAAGGCAATATCTCATATTCCTTCTGCTATGTTTAAACAACAATAAATGTCATTTGCAGGCTTGAAAAACTCACTAGATTGGATCACAGGAATTGCTGACCTCAGATACAGTAATACACTCTTCCGAAAGAACTCACCTTGGCTATTGAGCCTAACTAGTGTCACATACTGTTAGCGTGAGGCGCTTTCCACAAAAAAACGAAAACCGACCAAAAAAAAAACGAGTGAACCGGTTTTTTAAAAAAATACATTCGAAAATCGAAACTACGGTAAAAAAGACACAACACGCTATATACTCAGTACTCACGCAAGATATTAAACGTAAGGTATTTTGAAGACGTTATCAAATTTCAAACAGAGTCTCTTTTAGTTTTTCGTGTGTGAATGCCAAAACTTGATTCATTTGCAACAAACTCGTATAAGTATGGTTCGATTTTTTTCGTTTCCCCCCGGGTTTTTTCGGATTTTACAGTTTTTCTCCAAAAGTAACATCGAGTATTTCGGTTTTCAAAAAACATAGTTTTTTTTTCAGTTTACCGAAAAACCGCCTCATCCTACATACTGTATATGAAAACGAGGCTCTATAGCCAAAGTGACATACTTTCGGGAAGGGTGTATTAATGGATCTAAGCTAGACCGGTGGTAGGGGAAAAGCCGAGTGGGCACTGGTCATGGATCAGATTTACAGACCATCCAGTGTGGCAGTGTGGGCTTGGGAAACTGCAGCCCAGTGGCAAAGCAGCCAAAGCTGGTCAGCAACAGGTTATACTATGCAGTCTAGGTTTACTGGCATAGCATGACCAGTTGCCGTTGCAAGCTTCACCATTGCTGCAGCTCTCGGCAGAGTGCAAGGAATAATATAATGTATTACCTGGAGCTCCAATTTTTTCACCAGATATTGTTTCTAAAAGTCTTATCAAAACTTTTCCATCACTCAAATCAGTAAACAAATCATTCACATGTAAGTTGATCTGGAAATGAAATGCCATGATCATAATTTGTCAGAGTACATACTGTACATATAGGTCAATGGACGGGAAACAGCCCCAGAAAGTACAATCTACTCTAATGCCAGACAATTTGCTCATCAAGGGAGAATGCCCAACACTCAATAGGTTAATCAGACTATCTGCCTAAAGTATATGTCTTGTTGAATTTATGTTAACCCTAATTTAAGTGGCACTTTGCCCTAATGCACCATACTGTGTTATTTTACTCTGTCTTATAAGCCGGATGATTTTGCTTGTCAAGGGGAGAGTACTGGCACTCAATGTGTTAGGGATGCATGAATCTTCCAGATCAAGGCTTTCGCTAGCTTGCGTTGCACACTTCAAAACACATGTACAAAACATGTGTTTTGAAATATGCAACGCAGGCTTAGATCGGCTTTCGCTTGAAACTTAAATTTCTCGTTATCTTTCAGATTGATTGACCCTGTAATTCCTCAAATTATTTAGTAAAGCAGTACTTTTCTTGGAAATAGTATGATGGTCGGTTACACCAATTATTACCAGCAAGCAAAGCTGGGACCACCAACCTCGCAAGTCAGGCTCTTTAGCTCATCCTTCTGCACCACGCTATATGGTGGTCAATGCATATATATATTGAAAAGAGCCTTGCAAGGTTGCGGGAACCACCTGGCAGTTTTGAGGTCCTGTTAGGCTAAATTCTGAAAGACTATATGAGCAACATTGGACACAAACCATGTCTATATTGTGACAGTGACATGGGGAAGAAGAAACACAATAACAAAATTCTGAAAGCGGCATGGCAATTCATGTTTTTAAGCAGTGACATAACTTGTTTTAAAAATCAGATGAACAACATACAAAGAAAATAATATTATTAATTTCTTTATATGTGACAGTCTTTAATGCAATGACAAATAGGTGACGCTAATCATCCTTATTTATCATTGACAGCACTGCAGAACTAAGACACAGCCCAACCGAGTCCAAGTCAAATCCGAGCCTGAGTCAAATGTCCAAGTCACTGTTTAGTGGTCTTTGCAGTTCAATGACTTAGTACCCAGTCACAGAATAAGGCACACAGAAGGGCCACTTATGTCGGAAGCTTTGAAGTTTCTGTCACCCTGGCCGCCATCTTCCTAGCCAGTCGATTACATTTCCTGGCCAATAAACGCGCTGTATTGGCTGAAGGCCCCGCCTTCTGGCCAGTCAACTGCATATTTTTGCATAGAAAAATGGTGACACGTTGCACCGCTGAGTGGCCCTTCTGGTACTGATCTTTATTCTGTGACCCAGTCCTAACCCTACTCCTAAACCTAATTTTATTCAATTTCATCTTTTTTATGTGACTCAGACATTTGACTCGGGCACGGAATTGACTCAGATTTGACTTGGTAAATGGATTTACACCAGCCCAACCTGACTGGGTTGAAGACTTTTAAAATTAAAGCCGGTTTTCCACTAGGCGGAATATTGCGCACAGAGCGGAATTTTTCTTTGTCTTGTGATTTCTCGGGTGGAACTAATTAGAAAAGACAAAGAAGATTTCCGCTGCATGCGCAAAATAGCGCCTAGTGGAAAACCGGCTTTATGCTAGTATGAAGGATGTCTCGGTCATGCACAGAGCACAACTATGACAGAAAGGTTATGGTTGCGATTGCCGCTAAAAAAAAATTTACGAAACATGACAGTATAACTAGATACAGTATTAAGAATCATCAAATGACTGCATTAATGTTGGTTAACAGTAAAAATCAACATACATACTAATGAGTAGCAATTTATACCAATTAACGTACCTTATTCAAAAATGAATTTATCCATTTAGTAAAGGTCTTCTTCTGAGAGAGAATTCTTTCGTTTTTCAAGTAATTGATTCTATCGCGTTCAAACGTCGGTGGATTTGACATTTCTGCGTTTATCTTGTTTATTTACCCGTCAATCTTCGCATAAATATAAACACTTTTATACAGTCCCGCCATATTTGAAACATGGCTGTCCGATATCAGAATACCATGCCAATATCAGATATAAATAAACGCTCCTTCATCATAAAAACAAAGCAGAGTATGATATTTCGAAACTAAGTATTTAAAACGCCGTCAGAGAGCTATAATAAAAACCACATCCACATTAATTTGTCACCGTACCAAAAATTTATACCAAATTGACCCGTTTCGGAATGCAGTGGTATTTAAATACCATGGTTTATATTCGATTCTGACGCATTTCCCGATATGAAATATACAGCGACAGGTTTTTCTACAGCACAATAATACCAAATTATCCAGTTTAAGTCACGATATCATATAAAAAAGCTTGTAAGAACAACTCCATAATATTGTTACTGACTGCGAAGGAATGTTGTTGACATACCAGTGTTTTGCCAAATTATTGCTGACGCAGCAAATGAGCCTGCATGCAGAGATTGGATTAGGGAAAGGATTAGGACTACGGTTCGGATTATGATTAGGGATAGAGGCTAAGATCCCGTTTACACGTTACCGGACGAATTTGGGACCGGTCTGAAATTCTTAAATTCGTCCTTTTTCGCCTGTTTACACGCGAATTCGTCCTGTTAGGGGGTCTCAAATTCGTCCGATTCCGTGGTTCTCGTGTGTTTACACGGCCGAAACGGCCGAATTTTGGTCCGGTTCCAAATTCGACCGGTACCGTGTAAAGGGGTCTAAGTATAAAGTCTGTTCGTTCACTGCAACCAGGTATATCAATCATGTTTCGCTCGCTACTCTGGTTTAAATAAATGATTACAAAGCCCAGTCGAATTGTAATCAAGACCCAACGTTTCGACACTCCAGTCTAGTGTCTTCATCAGGAGTGATCTAAAACTGCGATCGTGCCTTCTAAAATACCCAAGGGATGACGTCACCTGCCAAGAAGATGCATATATTCCTCTGGCAAATAGGCGCCGTCATCCCTATTCAAAGCATGATGACTCATATTTAAATGCCACGCTTGTAGGCAAAGTCTTTGACCATAGCGATTTGCCAGAGGAATATATGCATCTTCTTGGCAGGTGACGTCATCCCTTGGGTATTAAAGAAGCCACGATCGCAGTTTTAGATCACCCCTGATAAAGACACTAGACTGGAGTGTCGAAACGTTGGGTCTTGATTACAATTCGACTGGGCTTTGTAATCATTTATTTAAACCAGAGTGGCGAGCGAAACATGATGGGTCTAAGTATGTCAATATATCAGATTTCACTATACTTTTAGCCACGAGGGTCTGTGGCTAAAAGTATACCAGATTTCACTATACTTTTTAGCCACGGCCATATGTGGCTAAAAAGTTATAAGACTTCACTAATCACTATACTTTTAGCCACCAGCGTCTAACTGTGGCTAAAAGTATATCAGATTTCACTATACTTTTAGCCACGAGGGTCTGCGGCTAAAAGTATATCAGATTTCACTATACTTTTAGCCAGGAAGGTCTGTGGCTAAAAGTATATCAGATTTCAAGATACTTTTTAGCCACGGCGGTCTGTTGCTAAAAAGTATATCAGAATTCACTATACTTTTTAGCCACGGGGGTCTGTGCCTAAAAAATATATCAGATTTCACTATACTTTTAGCCACGAGCGGCTGTGGCTAAAAAGTATACTAGATTTCAGTATACTTTTTAGTCAAGGCAGTCTGTGGCTAAAAAATAATGAAATCTAGTATACTCTTTAGCCACAGACCAACCTGGCTAAAAGTATAGTGAAATCTGATATGCTTTTTAGCCACAGACCCTCGTGGCTAAAAAGTATAGTGAATTCTGATCAGGATAAACTCGACGTTTCGAGCGAACACCCTTCGTCAAGAGTTAACTACTAAACTTGACGAAGAGACTTCGCTCGAAACGTCGAGTTTCTGCTTATTTCTTAAGTTAGTAATATAACCACTCAGCACAGCATTTCTACATTGGTACTCCCTACACTGGTAAAATCTGATATACTTTTTAGCCACAGGCCCTCGTGGCTAAAAGTATAGTGAAATCTGATATACTTTTTAGCCACAGGCCCTCTTGGCTAAAAGTATAGTGAAATCTGTTATACTTTTTAGCGACAGACCCCCGTGGCTAAAAAGTATACTGAAATCTAGTATACTTTTTAGCCACAGGCCCTCGTGGCTAAAAGTAGAGTGAAATCTGATATACTTTTTAGCCACAGGCCCTCTTGGCTAAAAGTATAGTGAAATCTGATATACTTTTTAGCGACAGACCGCCGTGGCTAAAAAGTATACTGAAATCTAGTATACTTTTTAGCCACAGGCCCTCGTGGCTAAAAGTATAGTGAAATCTGATATACTTTTTAGCCACAGGCCCTCGTGGCTAAAATTATAGTGAAATCTGATATACTTTTTAGCCACAGACCGCCGTCCGCCGTGGCTAAAAAGTGTACTGAAATCTAGTATACTTTTTAGCCGCAGGCCTTCGTGGCTAAAATTATAGTGAAATCTGATATACTTTTTAGCCACAGACCGCCGTGGCTAAAAAGTGTACTGAAATCTAGTATACTTTTTAGCCACAGGCCCTCGTAGCTAAAAGTATAGTGAAATCTGATATACTTTTTAGCCACAGGCCCTCGTGGCTAAAATTATAGTGAAATCTGATATACTTTTTAGCCACAGACCGCCGTGGCTAAAAAGTGTACTGAAATCTAGTATACTTTTTAGCCACAGGCCTTCGTGGCTAAAATTATAGTGAAATCTGATATACTTTTTAGCCACAGATCGCCGTGGCTAAAAAGTATACTGAAATCTAGTATACTTTTTAGCCACAGGCCCTCGTGGCTAAAATTATAGTGAAATCTGATATACTTTTTCGCCACAGACCGCCGTGGCTAAAAAGTATACTGAAATCTAGTATACTTTTTAGCCACAGGCTCTCGTGGCTAAAAAGTGTACTGAAATCTAGTATACTTTTTAGCCACAGGCCCTCGTGGCTAAAATTATAGTGAAATCTGATATACTTTTTAGCCACAGACCGCCGTGGCTAAAAAGTGTACTAAAATCTAGTATACTTTTTAGCCACAGGCCTTCGTGGCTAAAATTATAGTGAGATCTGATATACTTTTTAGCGACAGACCGCCGTGGCTAAAAAGTATACTGAAATCTAGTATACTTTTTAGCCACAGGCCCTCGTAGCTAAAAGTATAGTGAAATCTGATATACTTTTTAGCCACAGACCGCCGTGGCTAAAAAGTGTACTGAAATCTAGTATACTTTTTAGCCACAGGCCCTCGTGGCTAAAATTATCGTGAAATCTGATATACTTTTTAGCCACAGACCGCCGTGGCTAAAAAGTGTACTGAAATCTAGTATACTTTTTAGCCACAGGCCCTCGTGGCTAAAATTATAGTGAAATCTGATTTACTTTTTAGCCACAGACCGCCGTGGCTAAAAAGTGTACTGAAATCTAGTATACTTTTTAGCCACAGGCCCTCGTGGCTAAAATTATAGTGAAATCTGATATACTTTTTAGCCACAGACCGCCGTGGCTAAAAAGTGTACTGAAATCTAGTATACTTTTTAGCCACAGGCCCTCGTGGCTAAAATTATAGTGAAAGCTGATATACTTTTTAGCCACAGACCGCCGTGGCTAAAAAGTGTACTGAAATCTAGTATACTTTTTAGCCACAGGCCGTCGTGGCTAAAATTATAGTGAAATCTGATATACTTTTTAGCCACAGACCGCCGTGGCTAAAAAGTGTACTGAAATCTAGTATACTTTTTAGCCACAGGCCCTCGTGGCTAAAATTATAGTGAAATCTGATATACTTTTTAGCCACAGACCGCCGTGGCTAAAAAGTGTACTGAAATCTATTATACTTTTTAGCCACAGGCCCTCGTGGCTAAAATTATAGTGAAATCTGATATACTTTTTAGCCACAGACCGCCGTGGCTAAAAAGTATACTGAAATCTAGTATACTTTTTAGCCACAGACCGCCGTGGCTAAAAAGTATACTGAAATCTAGTATACTTTTTAGCCACAGGCCTTCGTGGCTAAAATTATAGTGAAATCTGATATACTTTTTAGCCACAGACCGCCGTGGTTAAAAAGTATACTGAAATCTAGTATACTTTTTAGCCACAGGCCTTCGTGGCTAAAATTATAGTGAAATGTGATATACTTTTTAGCCACAGAGTGCCGTGGCTAAAAAGTATACTGAAATCTAGTATACTTTTTAGCCACAGGCCTTCGTGGCTAAAATTATAGTGAAATCTGATATACTTTTTCGCCACAGACCGCCGTGGCTAAAAAGTATACTGAAATCTAGTATACTTTTTAGCCACAGGCCCTCGTAGCTAAAAGTATGGTGAAATCTGATATACTTTTTAGCCACAGGCCCTCGTGGCTAAAATTATAGTGAAATCTGATATACTTTTTAGCCACAGACCGCCGTGGCTAAAAAGTGTACTGAAATCTAGTATACTTTTTAGCCACAGGCCCTCGTAGCTAAAAGTATAGTGAAATCTGATATACTTTTTAGCCACAGACCGCCGTGGCTAAAAAGTGTACTGAAATCTAGTATACTTTTTAGCCACAGGCCCTCGTGGCTAAAATTATAGTGAAATCTGATATACTTTTTAGCCACAGACCGCCGTGGCTAAAAAGTATAGTGAAATCTAGTATACTTTTTAGCCACAGGCCCTCGTGGCTAAAATTATAGTGAAATCTGATATACTTTTTAGCCACAGAGCGCCGTGGCTAAAAAATGTACTGAAATCTAGTATACTTTTTAGCCACAGGCCTTTGTGCCTAAAATTATAGTGAAATCTGATATACTTTTTAGCCACAGACCGCCGTGGCTAAAAAGTGTACTGAAATCTAGTATACTTTTTAGCCACAGGCCCTCGTGGCTAAAATTATAGTGAAATCTGATATACTTTTTAGCCACAGACC